ACAGCCCAGCGCCCCCTGCTGCCCCCGCCCCATCCCCACAGCCCAGCGCCCCCTGCTGCCCCTGCCCGATCCCCACAACCCAGCGCCCCCTGCTGCCCCTGCCCCTGTCCCCACAGTCCGGCGCCCCTGCTCAGCCCCCGCCCTGCACCCCCACAGCCCAGCGCCCCCTACCGGTGCCAGTCCGGGACATTCGTACACAGTAAAGTCGCCGTTCTCAGTCTCTGACTCCGTCGACAGCTGCTGGACGGGCTTTGGGGGGCTCCTGGGGGAGACGGACCCAGACACGGGGTGAGGAACCGCATGAACCAGGCCGGGGGCCGCGGCCGGGGTCTAGGCCAGGGGATCCGGGGGCTGAGGCGGCTCCGCAGCTAGGGGTGGAGATCCAAGGGACCCAGGTATCCGGGTGGGAAACGGGTGGGGGGGGCACCTAGACCCGAGCGCCAATGTCCCAGGGGCCCGGCTAGACGACGGGTGATCTCCAGTCCCCCCAGGGAGGTGTGGAAAACCGGGGGTAGGGGGAAGGGAGTAACTGTCCCCAAGACACCCCCAAAGTGGGAGGAGGGTAGAGGGGGCAGCTCATGGGGCAAGGGGCTGAAGGACTGGGGGGGAAATTTTGGGGTGCAAAATTTCCAGGTTGGATTGTGGGGGGAAGGTCAGAGGGGGCAGGGGGCAGGGGTGACTTGGGTAGGTTTGGGTTTCAGGGAGGGGTGGATTGGGGGGAAGTGGGGGCAGGGAAGGGGAAGATTCAAGGGTGAGTCTGGAGTTTGCGGGGGTCGGTTTGAGGTCATGATTTGGGGGGTGCATTTTGGGGTGGGGGCAGATTTGGGGGGGAGAGGAGGCTTGGGGGTGGGGTGAGGGGGCATAGGGTGGGGGAAAGGAAGGAGTGGATTCTGGGGGGGCAGATTCGAGGGTCCCTTCCCTAAGCCCCTCCCCCTCCCCACCCATAACCAATGGGGTGAACGGGGGGTGGGGAGGAATGGAGGGGAACTCACTCCTCATTGGTCAGGATCTTTTTCTGGCGCTGGTACTGGTGCACCTGGCAGGACTGGGCCAGCCGGGCGTCCATGTACTGGGGGGACAGACAGACAGACGGGGAGATGGTCATTGGTCAGGTGAAACTGCCGTCCCGGATGCCTGGGTCCCATTCCCCGTCCTGGTCTCCAGCCCCCTAGGGGTGAGCACCTGCACTGCTGTCCCGGACGCCTGGGTCCCATTCCCCATCCTGGTCTCCATCCCCCTAGGGGTGAGCACCCTGCACTGCCGTCCCGGATGCCTGGGTCCCATTCCCTGTCCTGATCTCCGACCCCCTAAGGGTGAGCATGGGGGTGGGGGTCTCACCATTCCGGGCTGGTGGTATCGATAATGATTCCCCCGATACGCCGTATATGCCAACTTCTGGGCCAGACGCACCTCCCGCTGCAACCTGGGGGCGACGGAGGTGGGGGGGGGTCGGACGAGGCGAGCGGGGTGGGG